AAAGCTGCCTGGTTGTTCAATCCTCCTTTTTCTGTAGATTGTCTCCAAGCTTCACATGTCTGCCTATGGTCAATGTTCAGGCTTTCTGCCACTTTTCCCCACAATGATATCTCTGTAGAACTCATTTTTTTCCAGTGATTCCTTAGGTACATCACAGGCACACCTCCACCTGGGCTCATTTATGTGTCTCTTTTGCTCTACTTTAGGAAATTGCCAAAGGAAAAGATTGCGGATTCCAGGCTATACCTGGTTAGAGAACCTATTCCTGACATTCCACACTTGGCCTTGGTCAGTGCACAGATGAATGGACTTATTGGTTGTTACACTTTGCAGGGCAAGTGGATATAAGCATGCATATGTGCAGTGATAGAAATTGCCCACAGATTTTATGTGGAGCCTCCTGGGGTAAGCTTAACTGAAAGTTGACACACTTTTATGATAAAGCTTTTCACTTGCTCAACTAGTTCCTAATAAATAAAAGAGGCAGATGAGATGATTGAGACACTACATTTTATCCATGAGATGCCCACCTATTTAGGCCCATGTCAGGTAGCTCTAGAGACAAGCCAGCAGGATGAGAGGGGTGGGTGAAGACTGTCAGTTTCTGAAGAAGGGCTGATAGGAAGAAATAATATACAGAAACAGTTATGTACAAGCTCAGGTTAGGTGTCTTCTATTTATGCTGAGTTTTAAGAACTTTGAAGTCTTTCTTTTGGTCATGTAATCTTCAGTTGCTCATCCCAGGAAGACGTGGAACAGGAGTAAGCATGACGATAAGGAGCCTGTGTAATTTCCAAACACTCAGTCATGGGGTCCCTCCAATCAGAAATGTGGTGGGGGCTCACAGGTGACAGTCATACTGGAGAAGAAGTATCCTCTTCTCCATTTGTAAATGTCTCTTCTTCATCCACTCAGTCATTCATCAAAAAGCTAGAACTTATCTGCTCTGATCCCTGTTATCCACCCTCTTGAAAAGCTGGAATTATCTGTTAGGAGTCCTGCATGCTATGTGCTGCATCTAGTGACTTCTGCTAAGGTGGCTAAGCTGTTTGGGATAACTTGGCCATGCAGGTTGTTCTCTTCTCTCATATCTAATGATCTCGGACATAGAATTATCCAGGGAGATTGTGCCATTATTTGATCCAGAATCTGGCTAACAT